GAGTCAATCTAGCTATCAATTTTATAAGATAGCAACATCTGTTTATAAAGAAAGCAAAACAGTAATATCACCACAGAACAGTGATACAGTTGAAATATAATGGATTCTTTCAATAATAGACCTTGATTAGGAATACTTGGCATTTATAATTTAGTTTGTAATGATAATCTATTTTTATTAGTTTTCTGTAGTTATTAGTACTCTGTTTGAATTTTCAAATGTATATTTCTGGAATCATTCAAACTTTCCAAATGTGCTGAGGTTTCCTTTCACTTAACTTTCTCTGCTCAATTGTATGATGTATTAGACATAGATTTATATACTTCAACTCAACTGCTCACAAATCACAAATCAACATGTTCTGACAGTTCTAGTATCCTGAAATATATTTTGTTTTTAGTCTTAATACTTGAAGTAACATTTATGATTACATCATTTCATCTTCCAAAATAGGATTGAATTTAAGAATTGTTTCCAAATTTCCTTATATTATTACATGTTTAGACTTTGGTCTAGAACCCAAACAAATAGGAAATTTGAGACCCAAAGTTACAGCTGAACCCATCCTTTTATTCCAAAACAAAGGACCAAGTGAAATTTATCAACCTTTTAGTCTTGGCATTAAATGGGAAAAGATATTTCAATTGCTCAGATTCCAACCAATGATTCCAACCAAACCCCTTGTCTGAGAGAAATTATGCTTTGGAACAGTACCATGTCTTATTTCATCTATATGTTATGGATTACGTGCCACACTATTATAATACACTGCAACTATGCTACATGTTTACCAGAAATTTGGATTCACTGAAAAATACATATAAATAAACCAATTATAAAACTAAAATCGGGAACCAATTTCATCAAAGTTGTGAGTACTGATCCTTTACCAGCCATGACATTTCATTTTGCTAGAGTTTTCTCTTATTTGCACAAAACAATCCAATGGAAAGTTGGAAAACTGTATACAGTGCTGAGTCTCAAAGTTCACATCAGCACAACCAGGCAATGCCCAGAATGCAGTGGATGAATCGTAATGATAATAATAATAATGCCCTGGTAGTGGAATTTTCTGCAATAACTCAGTGTGATTCAAAGCATTACCCAGAATTTATATTTCCTGATTAACTGTTGAAGTAGTATACCTTTAAATATAAAGCTAATTTTCAATTCATGTAAAGTCATTCCACAGTATTTTTGCTACATCCAAATACCCATCACCATGCTTGCATGCATCCAAACTAGACCGAGACATATTGTGCCATACCACTTACACATGGACATTTCTAATTTCTCTTGAATCATGTGCACATTCTCTCTCTGGATGCACTCATCCTGCGTTAGTAGTTCTGAAATGTATTAGGCATATGTTGACAGAAACTAAGTCTTGGAAACTGTAGAATATGCCACAATTTTAAGTTTGATCAGGTTGCTAATATATTGCTCATTCCAGTATATGTTTTGGATCAATTATATTGAGCCCACATGGAGAAAACGTATCCTAAAAGGCTGTACACAAATGTAATTTGTTGTTCTTCTCGTTGTTGTTCCCCTGTTAGCAGAAATGTGCCCATTTTAAATTGGGAAAGAATCCAGGCAATGATAATCAAAATAAATGACGGGATGAATCTGTCAGCATTGTGAGCAGCCCAAAAACGCAATGCAAATGATGATCCCTGGCCCTCATGGTCCCTGTTCTAGTTACAGGAAAAGTGAAGATAAATTAAACCTGGTTACTTCTCCAATTTGCTACCACCGTAATGTCAATATCACAATACTTGGTAACAGCAATAAACTCTAGTCCACTTAATACATCAGTCTGTATGTATTTGTATAATAATAATGAAGGTGTTTCATTATCACTGGTTTGTGTATTAAAAACAACCTTTGAAACAGAAACTATAGGTTGGAGGGATGTGTGTTTACAATTTGTTGCTGAACCTATATTGAAAATTGACCACTGGGGGGTGGTGTTATAAAACAAAGGTTTTTTGTGGTTGTAAATATTTTTCCTGCACTGCTTTACTATATTTGTCAATACATCTGCAATCCTCTTATGATTAATCAGCCACCGATTACTCTGCGCCTATATGCAATATAGTCTATCATGTTTCTAACCTATTTGAATTTGTTTTCTCAAGGTTGAATCATTCATGTATATTTTAAAAAGTCTTCCCATCTTCACCCCCCAACCATGATCATGTCACCTTCCTTCTTGGGTGTCCTCACACGTATTCGGATTTCCGCTCCATAGAATACATTTGTTGGCTCTGCTTTGAGACATACAATTGTCGAATTATTTTCGCTCTGATGTTTTTTATGACTCCACGTTCCCTCACACATTACTATCTGCAAACTGATCAGGCCGGGGTTCTTAATACGCACATTGCTACTTTGATCTTGAATTACTAAAGTTTTAGAATATGTTTTGTTATTACATTTGAATTAACGTTTGTGATTGTGATTTTCCACCCCACACTTTTTCCCTTTTTTTTAACACAGCACCTTTTGATTGTGTTCTCATGTTGCTGTTTTTTTAAAAATATCAAGCACCTTTTTAACGTAAGATTGACTGTGGCTCATTATTATATAGGTAACATATAACCTGAAAACACAACCCCAAACCTTGTATTTGTGTTGGCTACAGGTGAAGATGGCTTTTTCAAAATCCACAGGAAAGCACAACAGTCTGATTTCTTTAACTTGTCTTTAAGGGGAGCATTCCATGACTTCTTGAAAACAAAACCATACATTTCTCGCCAACAATCAGCATTATGCAGAGTAAGAATGCACCTACAGGCACTGCGACATATGGTTCATGTAACTGCACCAAGGTGACGAGAATCCAATTATTTGTAGTGTGTACATTTAGCAATAAGTTGTATCATATAAAGAACACAGGTTGCAAAATGCAGCTGCGAAAACAACCATTTTATCATTGGCAGTTTTGCAAGAACGTCGCCTATTGAATTCTATGACCAGAATTATTTTTATTAATAGGCAACGTGTACTTCTCTTTTTTTACCACAGACACTTATTTGATAACAAGCTTGCTGCTCCGCCCTGACATTTAACTTCTCCAATTCAGCACGTTTACAATGTTAAAACTTACTTGAAATCCAAGCCGCAGTGGATAGCATACCCTGTCAGTACGTGGCACATAAGGATTTCCCCAGATTCCCAGTCTCAGAGCAAACAGTGTCTTTGTTTTTTGAAGCGCAAATCTTCAGTGTCACTTCATTGTCTCACTGTAGAAATAGGTCTCAACGGGAGAAACGCTGCACTTCTCTTTCCGTGAGGCAACTGTCTGTTGCTTCGGCTTTGCACTACTGTACAACCAAAACTGGTGGCAGTCTCCATATGTTGGTCGCAGCCTCGGAATTAGTGGCTGGAAAACCCAGGTTTTCTTCCTTTCACTCGTCACAGCCCCAGTGCCTGGAAACCAATACAAATAACCTTGGCAGCTGCAAATTGTGAGATAACACTAAGGGGCACTACAGAACGAAACTCCGGTCCCTTACACACTCATTTTTGAGCCAAAATAAGATGCTGGTCACCCAGACTGCTAAATTAATAGCCCACGCGTGCCCTTGGTATCCAACACAAATCCCCGCAATTCATAAGCTGCATCAAATGAGATATTGGCAGCTCTACAACACCAAATGTTCCTTTCCCTTTGCCATCACCGGCTCACCGTCCGAGTAATTGATATAAAAAAATCCTATTTCGTAGCTGCCTTTCATCTGAATTGCGCATAAGTTGCGGCGGATGGTTTGGGTGACTTGCGAATGGAATCACTTGAAATCTTTAGTTTGCAATGTGACGGCAAAGCCACCGCTTTATTATCCGCCGCATTTTTTGACGGTGATACATTGTTGGCGGAACATTGCCCGTGATGTAACGGGAGCGAATGGGGAGGTGTGGGTGGGGGGTGGGGGGGGGGGAATGTGGGTGGGTGGAGGGGTTCGGGGGTGCAATAAAGTGAGGGCTTGCGTTTTCATGGCTTGAAACTTGCCACTGAGGGGTTTTCTGGAATGGGGGGCAGATACATACGGCGGTCCATTTGCGTTCGTCTGCTCTTAAAAAGGGAATCTGGTTCAATTTTAAGTGGATTACTGTGGGTTTATCGAGAGGAGTGCAGAGTTGGCTGTGCTGTGCTGTCTGTTGCCTTCCCTGCCTTCCCTGCCCTGCCTTGCACTGCCCTTCCCTTCCTTGCCTTGCCTTGCCTTGCCTTGCCTGCCCTGCCTTGCCCTGCCTTGCCTTGCCTGCCCTGCCTTGCCTTGCCTTGCCTGCCCTGCCCTGCCCTGCCCTGCCCTGCCTTGCCTTGCCTTGCCTTGCCTTGCCCTGCCCTGCCCTGCCCTGCCCTGCCTTGCCCTGCCCTGCCTTGCCCTGCCCTGCCTCGCCTCTCCTTGCCTGTTGTGCGTTTCCACCCCTCTGAAAAGGCAGGCGAATGTGCCAGGATGGAGAGACCTCAGAGGTGGAGATGACGCACACGATCGTGCTCTCCCCCCACCCTCCACCCCCCTCTCCTCCCCCCTCCCCCCCACCCCCCCCCCCAAAAAAAAAAAAGTGTTTCAGGACGAAGATGGCGGCAACTTAACGTAGAAGCAAAGATGACCGTGTCCATCACAAGGCAACACAACCCCACCGACTGCGCGGAGCTCAGGAGGAACAATTCGCCGGGTTGAACTTTTCTGCGCGCATTTCTGCGAACCCGTCCGGTCGGAGAGGTGTCAATGGGGGTCGGATTGTGTGAGAGGCTGTTGGTGAGCTGATCCTGCAGAGAGGAGGAACGAGAGAGGGGGAGAGAGAGAGAGAGAGAGAGAGACAGAGAGAGAACGAGAGAGAGAGAGAGAGAGAGCTCAGCGTCGTCGGGAAGGAGAGGGAGAGAGGGAGAGGGAGAGAGGGAGGAATGTTGTCACAGAGAAGTACGTTTTTCTCAAGAGAGTTATGGATAACTCCGATGTGACAGTGCCTGGCTTCACCTGCTCGGTTCCGCCGACTGGATGGCAATAGTTGCTCACTGCTGAGAGGGGAAAGCCAGATCCACCCGAGCCCCACGTTCCAGAGAGAGAGAAAAAATAAAAGAAATCCCGGTCAATGTCTATTGTGGCACAGGGGCACTCGCTGTGGAGTCGGCCAGAGCTGCGCTTTCCCAAAATATGACCAAGGGTGCCTGGATGTGTCGGCGGCAAGAGGACGGATTAAAAATCTGGTACGCACCCCGGCAGAACGACAAACCGTGCACAGATTCGGAACGGGCCCAGAAATGGCGACTGTCTTTAGCATCTCTGTTGTTTTTCACAGTCCTGCTGTCTGATCACTTGTGGTTATGTGCTGAGGCGAAATTGACAAGGACCAGAGACAACGAGCAGGACATGTTGTCAGACATGAGCGATTACTCCACCACAGCAGACCCTTTACTTTCCCCCGTTTACCATAGACCTAGAGACCCAACGAACAACATCAGCAAAGACAAAAATGCTATTTTTATAGGGAATACTACCAAACCTCTGTGGCAACTAGAAGTGTGTCATCCACATAGTATATCTGACCAGTGTTTTAGTGTTGAAGATGCTGAGTCTGTCTGTAGAAGCGTGAGTGGGGTAGTGAGGAACGAATCCTCGCTACTGTCTTTCAATAATTTTCACCTTTTATTTTGTGAATCTTATACTCTTTTGGAGTTGTTTGCCGGGATGTCTAATCCAGACAGCTTGAATTGCAGCCTGAATATGGTTATGAATGGAGATCTCGCTGTTTGCAGCAACTGCATTCAGGCTTACCAGCGGTTAGACCAGCACGCTCAGGAGAAATATGAAGAGTTCGAGATCTTGTTTCAGAAGTATTTGCAATCGGAAGAATACTCTGTGAAAACTTGTATTGATGAATGCAAGGTAAGGTCGTTCACTTTTGTTCCCGATCAGCGCCTCTGGAGAGGAGAGGAGAGGAGTTGTGCAAATTCTTCCAGTTGCCATGGCAACGGGTACCCATGACTGGGACGTGAGCATCAGGGATCCCTAACTTTAATGGCACTCCTGAATCATAAATCATTGTAATGTGAAACTGTGCGTGATGTGTGCGCTGCTGGCCGGGGGGGGGGGGGGGGGGGGGGGGGTGGGGTGATGGTGGGGGATATGGGTGGGGGGGGGGGGGGATGTTTTACTGTGTCTGTGGGGGTGGGTGGGTGGGGAGGAATAGATCCGTAAGGCGGCTGAGCTGCTGTCAGGGCGGAGGGAGGATGATGCTGGGGGATTTTGCGCAGTGGTGGTGAATTGAAGCTTGTGCTCCTTGGTGGAGTGATAGGTGCGGACAAGAGACGCATGTAAATGATAGCTGGCGGCGGGGCTGGGTGAACGTCTCCATCCCCCCAGTGTGCTCCGATGTCACCGACTCCAGTGCCTGATAAGAAATGTGTTACTTCGATGTGAAGGTCTTCCGACAGAGACGGAGAGAGAGACAGAGAGAGAGAGAGAGAGAGAGACGTCTTTTGCAGACACACACAGAGAGAGAGAGAGACCTGTGCTCAATACTTGACCAAGTCCCAATGAGTAACCTGTGCTGCAGTCATATTTATCAAAGGCAGAACCGAGCGCATTCCATTAGTCACCCGTAAAATTAATGCGCAGTGCTGGCGGATCTGAAATGTGCCCCTTTTGTTTTAGATTTATAATCCGCTAAAAAAAAAAAGAGAGGATCCCTGACATTCAACTGAACGTCGTGCAGCGAGACCCACATCGTGGGGTTGAGAATTCCTGGATTAAAAAAAAACACCTCTGATTCAATAAAGGCATCAAGTGTGTACGTTGCTGGGCTGACCCCCAACACATTCGTTCATTTTAATATAAGGTTAACGGGGTTATCCCGTCTCTCAATAACACCTTATTGTTGGAATAAGTTGTTCTTTGGGGGCTATGTATGTGTGTATTTCCGGAGTGTGCATCTATATGAGAACAGTGTGTATATGTGTATGGGGAGGGGTGGGGGGTGGGGGGGGGGGGGGGAGGGGGCTTGTAAATAACACTTGAAACCTCTCTCCATCTTTTTTTTTATTCGTGCCCGACAGGTTCACACGTTTATTTTGGTATACCGGATAATTTAAGATCATTAAACGTGGTGGATTACAGTCGAAAGAAGGTGCAGCACCCGAGCATTGATGATAGAATTTCAATAAGGCTCATCGTTATTCCTTGCGCATCTTCCCCTCGCAGCCGAGAGGGATCTCACACGCCGGAGTTGCTGCTGTGTACGCAGCGCCATTGAACCCGAGTAGTCACCAACTTTATGTAGGGCTCCCGACGTTTGTTTTGGGAGCAGAGCACACACCTCCGCTTCAATCGCCCTTATTCGGGAGGTGCACGGAGCTGGACTTTGCTCACTGTAAATTGGGCGGCACTAGGAAAGGGAGCAGCAACAGCTTGCACCTATGCATTGCACATTTTTAAAGACATAACACGGCTGTGAACAAGAAGGCGTTCAGTCACTTGATGAGGGAAGTGTTTTGGTTATGGAACTAATACTGAGATGCTTCCTGTCACATTAGGCAGTGTGTGTGTATGTGGGGTTGGGGGGGGGGGGGGGGGGGCGGGGGGGAGAGACCCAGATATGTGGGGCACGGCACGGCTGACTGAAAAAAGGCCAAGGTGAAATAGGGCATCAGGAGAAGGGCGAATAAGAGAGAGGAGGGATATGGATGAGAGGGGAGACAATAACATGGATAATACTTACTTTTCTCAAATTCTAAGCATTTCTACAGTGCATCAGAAAATGTAATTGAGAGCCGAACTGACTGAATCAGTGTGTTTGTGGGTTACAGACGTGAAGCAACAGCAGTCGCTGTCCCTGGTGCTGAAGCAATGCACAGAGCGTTGCCTATAAACAGTGTATGGCTATGTTAGAACTTCTCATTTGCGGATAACCGTGACAGATCGCATTGGTTTTTTTCTCCCCCCACAGACATAAGCTGAAACCAATCTTTTGAATAAAAAAAACAATCCCACATATTTTAATGTTTCCAGAAAATAATATGAAGTGTGTTTTAACAATCGGCCTTGAGTGGATTTTATTGTTGAATGAAATGTTGACTGCAAAAATGAAGCTGAATTCACGTTGAACAAGCCTTACTTTGTATAGATCTAGTATAGTATTCGTTCAGTGTCTTGCGATTTCTAACAAAGATGTTGTTTATCCCATTAAAAGGAACTGTTTTGCTATTTGAAACCACTTTTTAGCTGATACAGTTAAGTGTATTCCAGGTTTATAAAAGGTCCTGTTAATTTAGAACAATACATGGTATGTCAGCAGAAATCTGTGTGGATGACTTCTGGAGAAAGTAAACAATTTACATTTCACCAACTTAACAGTTTAATCCAATAGTTCAAAAATATTTATATTCATTGCCTGTATGCTATGAATAACCTGTAAAGTTATTGAAATTTGGGTTACATGATAAAGATCGATGCTATTCTTGACTTGAGCTTGAGATCATGTACACAAGGCTTCCATTCATTAACATGCAATCCCCAAACTAACATGAGCCACTTGGATTTTTATCATAATTGTTAAACAGCTTCACTGTATAGAATACACTCTAGAAATGGCTTGCAATGTGTTTGTCAAGATGGCTATGAATGTTCATTTAGTTATGTTTGGTGCACTGCTGAGATGAGTTTAGACTTAAAGATTGGCCTGTAATAAAAAAGAGGGAAACATTAGTCTTTCTGTAGTACATTAGCTTGCTGTTGCTCTTCCACGAGTAGAGACATATTTCGTATTCTGTATGTTCTCTTGATTTCCTGCATTTGTATCTTTTCATTTGTTGGCTCACAAAATGTCAATGAGCATGAATGGACAACACGGCTTCATTCCAAAATATTGATGATCTCCTTGTGGCATGTGCAAGCAGAAACATTATAGTCTGCTCCAATCTTTTGCTAATACAGGACTGTGATTAGTATTCTACTGAGATTTTATTGTATTCTAAGTTGTTAGAATTCAGTGAAAAAATGAAATGACATTTAGTTGGACATGGTTAGTACAAAACAAAAGTGAATGTGTATGTGCATAAAATGTCGCTCATGTGAGTTACAACAGGTGTGAATTGTTAATACAGGAATGGTAGTAAGTTCTATTCATTGTGTAGATACTGTACTTCAACTGTACTAGGACATATTGATAGTATTGGGAATACATGCATACTGTTTGTTGGAAGGTTTCAAATCCAATTAAGGTTTGATACCCCCATCACTTCTCAGGCTCTAGTGTATCAGAGTAAACTAATGCGGTGGATCATATCACTCTGTACTGAATACATTTATCTCAAATGGTCTGATGATGGGGCAAAGCAATTAATCTCAGCAATCTGAGAAGGGCAAAATTATCCAAGACTTATTTTTCTGACCACCAGTAAGTGGCAATTGCTAGACAATTTAAGTAATTGGTAAGTACATGCATAAATGTAAAATGTGTTTGGGATCAGGTTTGATATTTGTTTCTTCTCCCCCTCTCAGGAATATGTTCTCAAGAGTTGCTCTCCATGGTGAACTATTGGGTAGGTCCTCAGCAGGGGTCAGTCAGAACATGAGTAGAGGAAGTTGGGATTGTACCAACTCCTAATTGTATATCCCCTCTGCAATGGTAGTGATGAGAAGGAGGTAAATAAATATTTGAAGATCAGTGGAGACCCTTCTCTTTTCTTGCCACTCCCCCACCCCCCCACCCCCCCACCCCCAACATATGTACTGTTGCACTTAAGAAACAAATAAACATTGATCTTGAACAATTTAGAGTGCAATGTTCATCCAGGACCAAACAATGGGCAATACATAGCCAGCATATGTGGTGATCACCAGTGATGACAGACAAAAGTATGAATAAACTAAACAAGTAGCTGGATGATATTAAGTGAGTTGGGAATAAAACCTGTATCTTTCCCAAATGTTTAATTTTGTACAGGTTGTCTATTTTTCCCGTTATGTTATTCCTATTGTGTTGGTTAACCCTATTTCATATTGCTGGAATGGTATTGACTGGTTTATTCACATCGGTTTAATTCTAAGAAGTTGATAAACATTTTATGGTTTTGCTTGTTCAAAATTAAAATAAAGTTGAGTTAATAAAAACTAAATAATCTATGGTGCAGAATATAATGTGGACAAAACAAAAATTGATTGAAAAAACAAATCATGGAGAAAGCTCAAAAGGAGATAGCAATGAACTTGCATTTTCTTTTCTTGATAAAACGATCTGATAGCTTGGAGCAAAGTAAAATATTGAATCCTACTTGTGCAATCATTTTGTTTATTGTACTTAGGTTTTATTAGCTTATGAGTGACCCTAATTAGGTGAAACTGTTATTAATATTTCACAGAAGGAAATGTCAAGTGGCACAATAGAAAGCACTTGTCGTGCTTAACTGGTAATGATATGCATTACCATATCATATTATCATATGCAACATAATTCCAGTACCAAATGAATGTGTGTATTCATGAGCTTTAAAAGATTCTGTTAAAAGTTGACTCTTGCTCACAGAAGTTGCTTGTTTCTGATCATCCTAAAAATACTGCTGGAATTGCTGTTAGAGTAAGAATCATCATTCATTATCTTTTGGGGGATTTTCCTAAACTACTTCTGTGCAGTTGTGTGCACATAACCCTCTCTGTGTTATAAAGTTCTTACAGTTCTTAAATAAACATATTATTTAGTATGGTGCAGTACAGTACATATGGCCATTTATCATTACTGTAGGATTCTGAAGACTTTTGCGCATATTTTAAAGGGATTCCTGTAACATTCTAAAAATTCTTTGTGTTACACATGTATTATTATTTAGAGTTTAAAAAAGAGTCTAGTGGGTGGCTCAGAATATTTTTTTGCAAAATATGATATTCGCTGT